TTTTTTTTTTTTTGTGTTTTTTTGGGCTAGTAGCTCGGACATCGGAAAATCCGACTCGAGGTGTTTGCTCAATCCCTCGTATGGCGTAGAATGGTCCAGGCCCATTGGGTCGCGAGTTGCGAGCTGGCTCAAAAACGCGGGCTTTGGTCGTGAAGCTGAACTCGAGATCTGAGCAGTAGTGTAGCACAGGTTTATAGGAACTACTTACCAGCGGACACAGCATTGTCGACACGGTTTCGAACTATTCAGACAGTGGGAGTTTAGTTTTTAAGCTACCATATTAGGGATCTATAGTAAATTCTAGGGTTTCCTTTTTTATAGCAAATTTCACGGATGCCGAACCGATGGAGTCGCGAGAGGAGCAAGGGAGAAACGACCGCCGCAGCCGTGACAGGCAAGGGCAGCGAGGAAGGAGGCCGGTCCTCCTTCCAGCCGGTGGGAGATTCACATCGTGTCGCCTTCACGGTTGGGCAAAATCTCGTGGAGGCTCAGATGTTGGAGCTTTTTGCCTCACATGGAGTGCAAGCTTTGCTAGATCTTCGGCCCAAGATGCTCTTTTCAAGCGGACATCCCTGGACACGCCGGGCCCTGGCTCGCCTCTGTTCCGTCTGCGGCGTTCAGCTCGAGAGGCGCAGCGAGCCATCGCTCCTGGCTGCCCTGCGGTTCTCGAAGCCGCCGGCAGCGCTGCTCTTTGCCGAGTCCGACCCCCGAAACGCCTGGCGGCGAGAGCTCAGTGATGAGGTGTTTCGTGCAGGCTGGCAGGTCCTTCATGTGACCGCGAAATTCGGCGAGTTGATGGTGACGCCGCACCAGGACGGGTCTCTGCAATTCGGATCGTGCATGCAAGAAGATCCCCTGCCCGCAGGAGTTGTTCTCGCACGCCGGCAATGCCATCACTTGGCCGCCCACTGCAGCTGCGGTGCCCGAGCTTCAGAAGCTTCAGTGGCCTGTTTCGGACATCCATTCAAGGCCGGCCATGCTGCATCTCGAAAATCCCCACTCCCGCCTCTTCAAGCTTCCACATGAGGAAATCAAGACCTTGAAACAAGCCCGGCATTCCGAAACCTCAAGGCTGAACCCTAAACCCTAAACCCTGAACCTTAGCCATGCGAGAGGGAAAAAAACCCTGAACCCGAAACCTCAAGGCTGGCGGAAGGGAGGCCCTACCTTTTCCTCTTGCCCTGGGATACGGAGCTCCTTTGGTGCCCGCGCTGGCTGGACCTGCCGGAGGCTGACCGGCTCCTCCGGACCATCCAGGACGCACGCCCGAAATGGGACTTTCCGAAAATTGGGGTACCTTATTTTGGGGTCCTTACAATAAGGATCCTACTATTAAGGGTACTATATTAGGGTCCCCTATTTTCGGAAACCCCCAACTCCCAAACCGCAGAAAGCCTAAAATGGTAAAACCCCCCGGAGCCTGAACCCGGAACCCCAACAGCTGCCCCTAAAACCCAAAACCCAAAACCCCTCCCAACTTGGACAAAAGAGCGCAAGGAGAAGGTCGTCTTCCAACAGCCCGTGCTGCGATTCAGCCGCGCCTCGGCTTCAAAAGGGCGGACTTCTTCAAGTTTCGGAGTGCTGAGGCCGCTAAGTCTAAGGGTGGTGCTAGTTCGGGTCTTCAGCCAGGTCCCATGGTTTCTACTCCCAAAGGCCTCGCGTTTCTCCTCCTCTCCGCTTGTCCCCAGAGAGCCCAATACCCTTGAATTAAGGCATATTACCCTAAAAATCATAATATAAAGGCCCTATAATTTAAGGTATATTCCTTATTTAACGGGTATTGGGCTCTCTGGGTCCCTATCTCTCCAACGGACCAGGGAGCTCTCTCTGAAGCCGCCAAGGCAGCAAAAGGACGGAGATGCAAAGGCCGACAGCCTTGAAGGAGTAGGGGATGGAGTAGGAGATGGAGAGTAGCAGCAGGAGGAGTAGGAGCAGGGTGGCAGGAGGAACAGGAGGATTAGGAGCAGCAGCAGCAGCAGCAGGAGGACGAGGAGGAGTAGGAGTAGTAGCAAGACCAGTCATGGTCAGGATGATGTTCAGGAGGATGATGTTGAAGTCGTTGATGATGTTGATGAGGATGATGACGATGAGCATGACTTTGAAGGCAAGAAAAAAGCGGCAGGTGATAATTAGTGATAATAAATCTTACGAATCCTTGTGATGGCACTAGTAATAGCCACAAGTATGATACGGTAACGCCACGTAGGATGTGATATCCCTACAACCACCCTAAACCCTAAACCCTAAACCTAAACCCTAAACCCTAAACCTAAACCCAAACCCTAAACCTAAACCCAAACCCTAAGCCCTAGACCCTAAACCTAAACCCAAACCCTAAACCCTAAACCTAGACCCAAACCCTAAGCCCTAAACCCTAAACCCTAGACCCAAACCCTAAGCCCCAAACCCTTTCTAATTTTCCTGGTCTCCAAGGTGGCCTCCGAACCATCGAGGCGCAGCAGCCTCGGCGATCGGCCTGGGTCTCCGACCAGTTCAACAGTGCCCCGGCGCTCAAGGCTTAGGGTTTAGGGTTTAGGGCTTTGGGTTTGGGTTTAGGTTTCGGGTTTAGGGCCCAGCGCTTTTTCGACGGAACCTCCGGGGGTAAGCGGTAAGGGCAGAGAGGCAGGGTTTAGGGTTGAGGGATGGGTTTTGAGGCTTGGGCTTCAGCAGAGTGCAGGCTTCAGCGATGGGTCTGATCTGGAGAGTGTGGGTTGTCAAGGCATAGCTAAACCCCGATAACTGGAGCTTCCTTATCCGCAAATAACCCCAAAACCCAAAACTCGAAACCCTAAACCCTAACTAAACCCTAAACCCAAAACCCTAAACCATAAACCCTAAACCTTCTCCGAGGCCGTGAGCATCTCGCTCGGCTGCAGGCCGAAGGGCATGCCCTGGCAGAAGCTGTGCCCGGGCATCCAGCATGGCCCCAGGATTTAGGGTTTAGGGTTTCTAGAAATTGTTCAGGGTTTGGGTGCCAATAAGTTTTGACCGAGTTTTGACCGAAACTTTTTGACCGAAACGTTTTGACCGAGTCTTTCAGTTGGAACCATGTTTTGAATCTGGGGGCTTGGCTGTGGGCTGGGCTGGGCTGGGCTGGAGGTGGGTGGGCTGCCGGGCTGGGTTGGGGCCTGGTAGGCTGGGCTGCTGGGCTGCTGGGCTGGCGCTGATTGAGGTTGGCTGGGGCGCGGCTGGGCTGTGGCTGGGCCCACAGCTGGGCTTGGGCTGTGGGTTTTTTTTTCGGGCCTGGGGCTGGGGCTACCCTGAAGCGGAAATTGGTTTATTTGAAGATGAAAAGGTTGTGGTCAAACCGAATAAAACGAGCTTCCGGAAGGCCAACAGCAACAAACAATTTCTATTTATTTCTTTCTTGAGGGTTTAGGGTTTAGGGTTATGCTTGCGCACCGAGGGTGAAATGAAAGGAAGGGGAGTTTGGGAGAATCAAAGCCTCGGTCACTGCAGCGTCACATGGCCACTGGTCGCGCAGCTGAGCACCCGACCTTTGCTGGTAACCTGATGACCCTAGACCCTCAACCCAAAACCCTCAACCCTAAACCCTCCACCCTAAACCTTAAATCCTCAACCCTAAACTCTCAACCCTAAACTCTAAACCTTAATGACCCACTGTTCAGAAGTCTCAGGTGCTAGAAGCTCACCCACTAGAGGCCTGGAGTAAGGCCCGGCCAGTTGACGGGTGCAGGCTATACTGGAAGATACTCCGACAATGTACCACAAAATGTTTCAATATACCATAGCATGAAACGATTTAGGTACCATGTTTGCTTTGACACACGATAGTTTACCACACTCTGTATAGTCTTATAATACATTCTATTGTAGTACACCCTACTACTTTAAATTGTTGCAATATACTGTAACATACCAGAACCTACGAGTAGTAGGCTACAGTCGGCTGTAGTTCGCTGTATATTATCGCATGCTATACGTAGTTTCATATCATTGTCCGGGATCAGCAACCGTAAACCCTAAACCCTAAACCCTGAACCCTAAACCCTAAACCGTGAACCCTAAACCCTAAACCCTAAGTTGTACTTGCCGGATTTGCAGGCCGTGTTCGCGCGGGCGGAGGCCACGTCATCTTGCCAGTTCAATGCGCTGCTTCTCCACAGCTACGAAGCCAGACAGCACCTCGAGAACCACACCCTGGCATCTCCTTTGGCAGAGTCGGGGTCGTATGTTAGCGTTTCAATAGCACCCATGGGTGCTGGCACATCCAGCCGTACACTAGTTTTTGAGTTGCATCTTGTCCCTCGGCAGAACTCCCCCCACAAAAACGAAACCCTCAGGCACCGAACCTTTCTGACAGCATCACCCAGCATGCTTTGGCACTTGTCAGACCGTGGTTACAGACTTGCCAGGCTTCAGAGCTCTAAAGCCGGAAACCCTAAACCCTAAACCCCGAAGCCCTAAAGCCCTAAAGCCCTGCAGCCTTAAACCCTGAAGCCCCAAAGCCCTAAAGCCCTAAAGCCTTAAAACCCTCAAAGGACCATGGGGGACACTCCATGGGCTTTCACAGCGATTCGGACCTCGGCCTGGGCGATGCAGCCGCGATCGCCTCCTTCTCCTTGGGCGCGACGAGGAGACAGGGGGCATTTTGGGGTTGCTTCGGGTGTCGGGGTAGTTTAGGGTTCAGGGTTTTGGGGTGATGAGGGTTATGGTTTAGGAGTTAGGGGGTGATGGAAGGGGTTTTTATCAGGGGTTTCTTCGGGTTTTGTGGGGGATTTGGGTGAGCAGTGTGGCTTTGGGGCGTACAGAAGCCCGGACAATTTGCGGGGTGCGTTTGGGGTCAAGGGCTTGGGGGTTTGGGGGGTTTGGGGCTTCGGGCTTTCTGAACGTTACATCCCGGCTTCTTAAAGCTTGGCAGCAGAGGGACGGCATCTGCACCAAAGGTTTAGTTGAGGCTTCGGAGCATTCCTGCAGTTCCAAGCCGCTTTTCCGAGCTCCAGGACGTTCTCCTTGCGAAGCCAGGTGCCGTGGAATGGGCGGCGCATTGAGATCCAGGTGCCTGCAACACGTCCCGCACGCCTAACATAGCCCTATACCTCTTCACGCACCATGGTCTGCTCCAAGCTCTGAGTCGCTTCTACAGAGGGTATAGGAGAATTTAAGTTATGCCGTGCTCAGACTCTGCGACCCTATGTGCCCTCTTCTTTTTTTACAGGTTCCCATGCACCACGGCAGCTTCCTGGCCATGGGCCCCGGGTTCCAGGGCCGGTGGCTGCATGCCGTCCTGAAGGAGCCGGACGTGGCGGAGCTTCGCGTGAACGGCACCCTGCGCTTCTACGACCTTCCGCAAGGCTCGGCTCTCTGCGCCTGCGGCTCTTCGGAAGCCCAGGCCGCGGCCTGAGAGGTGCCTGCCAGAGGCCAGAGGCCTGCGAAGGGCAAAGGTTCTTGACGAATTTAGGCCGCCCTGCCGTGCGGCTTGGGGATGCTTGGGGTGTCTGTGAACATTCCGCCAGAATGGACAAAACTGCGTGGTCATTGCGGAAGTGAAGGGGAGAAGAAGACGTGAAGAGGGCGATGCAATGGCGCTACAGGCCCTGGCGGACAAGGTGGAAGCCGGCAAACCCCAGGGTGGGCACCCCGCGAGGTGTTGCGCAAGCAGCGGTGGAGCTTCGCTGCCACAGACGGCCAGTGACAACCAGATGAGTAGTTCTCTCAATTAGGGTCCCTTTTTCGGGGCGTCAGTCAGACAACCCTCCGCAAACTCAGCGGTCACATCGCAGCCCCGATCCCGAAGGTCAGAACTAGTGTTGAAACTCTTCGCAAGACCTTGCGGCGAAGCCCGGAGTCCAAGCCCTCAAAGGCGAGAGCCTCCAGGCTCCTCCTGTAGCTCCCCTGAGTTTCAACCAGCGCGGGAAGGTGGAGCGGGCGAATGAACACAGGTTCCCCCCGTCGATCCGAGATGTCCCTGATGGACCTGCAGCAGCACGTCGCTTCCCAAAGCTCAAGATTTAGGAGTGTGGCTTCCCAAACGCAGGCCGGCCCGATCCTCGTCTTAGAGGCCATGGGCCCTGGGGTGAAGACGCAGGCGCACTGGATTTCCGGGGGCCTCATGGGTTTAGGGAGATCGGTCGAAGCCAGTGTAGAGTACAGGGCTGCGGGGGATCGGGAAGTGCCGGCTTGAAGTGCTGCGAACGAAGAAGCAACCACACACCGCGGCGGCATTTTGCGCTGCTGGAACCGGCTTCAAGTGCTGGGACGATGCCCAAAAGCGAAGTCTAAGAAGCAGCCCAAATCGAAGAAGCAGTTGCAGCCTCCGCGGACGGCCGCGCGGTGCTGTCAACACATCTTGGGCAAAGAGACACCCCAAGCAATCAAAACCCAAACACCAAGGTTCCTTGTTATAAGTTTACTATCACATGACATCCCCAAAAGCCCACCCTGACGATTAGGGCCCCTATGTTACCTGCCCAGCTGCCGGTGGACTCGCGGCGCTTGGCTTTCACGGCCCCGGAGGAATCGCCGGAGCTCTTCAGGACCCTGGGCTTGTCATGGTATTTCTAGATGGCTTTCCAAGGTTTGTTAGGATTTCTACAGGTTTTGGGCTACTATCAGGGCCTTGTGCGTCTTTCCCAAACATTCATTTGTTGTACACGACGGGCCGTTACGAAAGGGGCTGCGACAAGTGTCCGGGCTGCTGCAAAAGTTCTGCGTACTCCGAGGCCTGTGATAGGGCTAGGGGTTACTGCAAAGACGACTCAAGTCAAAGCTTTCGGTTTAGCTTCTGCTTCTTTCCGTTTAAGTTTAGGGTTGGGGGCTGGTTTAGGTTGTTTGGGCTTTATGCTGGCTGAGGGTTTTTTTTTTGGGTTTTGGGCTTGGTTTTCTTTGTGGTTTCGTGTTTGGACGTCAGGGTTTGGGGGACCTGGCTGGGATACGTGCTCCGAGAACGTAACGAAGCAAAACATACCGAAACCCTAAGCCCTAGAGGCCCTAGACCCTGCCCCCCCAACCTTGGCATGAACTCTTTAACCCCAGACCCTAAATCTGTTGAGTATCCGACTCGCTCCCTGCGCAGGCAGTGCGGCAAAGAGGGCGCACCCTAAACCCCAAAAAGCAAGAACACCTGAGTCGTACCGAAGCCTCAGCCTCAGCCCTGTTTTATTTTATTTATTCTTTTATATCATTATCATCATCATTATTATTACTATGCGATTTAAAAACTGTTTTAGAATTAAAAACCCACCCAACTTTATTGGTCCCTCGGCTCGAAGCACCGCAAGCCCCCTCGGCCCTGGTCGCTTTCAGCTCCTTCATCATCGGCCGCGCTCACCAGCTGGAATTCTGGCCGGAGGCGCCCGGCACGCACTCTCCAGCTAGGCGGTTTAGGGTTTAGGGTTTAGGGGTTACAGTTTCAAGAGTTTAGTATTTAGGAGAGGTTAGGACCTTCCATGTAAGGTTTTGGTTTGGGGGAAAGGGGCTACACAGAACTGGATTATTGCATGGATGGAGAAGTCTGTTGCGGATTCTCCTGTCAGAGCCCGTCCCACCGAGTACGGGTCAATCGGGCAGGGGTGCACGGTCTTTTTTTTGCAGTCGTTGTCTTAAGTCCTACCCCGAAGCCCCTAAACCCCTAAACCCCGAAACCCCAAAACCCCTGAAACCCCTAAACCCCTAAGCCCCATCCCATGCCTGCTTTGCGACTGTGTGAATCGAAACTCCATCCCGAACCCCATCCGGATCCCAAACCCGGATCTCCCTAAACCCTAAACCCTAAACCCTAAACCTTTCTGGTCCCTGGGGAGCTTCACTGGGTTGTGTTTGGTTGTTCTTCGGTGTCTGGTTGTGGGGAGGCTCGAGGGGACATGCAACAGTAAAATCTGTTGCCAACAGGCAGACCATCGTGATGCCGGGTGGTTCATGGTTCTTAGATGGGGTTCTGGGCTTGCTTTCTGCCTATGGCCTGTCTTTCCTGTGTCACGCCGACCTCGCACCATGAACCTCGCCTGGCTTGTCCGAGTTGTGAGAGCGTAAACCCTAAACCCTAAACCCCTAGGATCCCAAACCCGGATCTGGCAAGCTGGAGCCTCCCGCCTTGCCGCTTTGTGTAGGCGTGAGCGTCGATGCTCTAAGCCCTGAAGCCCGGAACCCTGCAAAGGAGGTTAGGGTTTAGGGGTTCAGGGTTTAGGGTTTAAGGTTTAGGGGTTTAGGAGTTTAGGGGTTTAGGGGTTTAGGGTTTATCAAACCCGGCAATTAGAGAGTTCAAGTCTCTGAACCTTAAGACATCTTACATATGCGGAGCCTTGCCTGCTGAGTGCGAGAGCCAGAGTCGAAGATATCTTAAAGCCCAAGCTCTAAAGATCTCTGAGCCCTAAACCTGGGTCCTTGTTGGATACAATTTTACATTGTTTGTTATGAATCATAACCAATAAGGATGAATCAAAACCAATAAGGATTAAAAATGATCATGTTTAGGGAAGCCCCAACAGGGAACCAGACACCCCCATGCCCGAGTTTCAACTCCCGTCCCCCAGTGCGGCCGCAGGTGTTGCGGCCCGAGGCCCTTAGCACCCTGTCGCGCCAACACATCGAGGCCACTCTTAGAACCGCTTTTTTTGGGGTTCTTGGGTTTAGGCTAAATTCCGCTGCGAGAGTCCTGGTGGCAAAACGGCTAAATTTCGCAGATGTTCAGACTTCTGGAGCTTGATTGCAACCTGTGGCAAAAACGGCATGGAACAATGTAGGAGCTTCCCTCTTCAGGCACCGGAAGGGCGATGGGCGAACCAGTTCCAACACCTGAAACCCTGCATAACCCTGCCGAATGAGGCCGTCTAGTGCTGTAGCCAGCCCCAAGTTGACAAGCTCTTAAAGTGCTTCGTAACTGTGTGTATTGTGTGTATATATATATATTGTGTGTGTGTTTGGTGAACGGGGAATAGGGTTGCAAATGCCAACCGAGAGGCTACGACTCCCCCATATGTGACATTCTGCCTGCTCAGCAGACAACGAGGGTCCGGAAGGAAACAACACCTTAAACCCTAGACCCTAAAGCCTAAATCTTTTAAACCCTGAACCCTAAACCTCCTAAACCTAAGCGACGAAAAAGGCCCTTAAAACAAAAAAACCCTCTTAAACCTCAAAAGTTACTTAGAAAAGACGCCCTAAGCCTTCTCAGCCTCAGCCAGGTGCAGGCATGGAGAGCGCCAGGCGGCGCCAAGGGTCCAGGATTCGGCCTGTTGCGGTTCAGAGTTTAGGATTTAGGGTTTAGGGTTTAGGGTTTGGGCAGTAAGGGCAGCAGTCGAGTCCCTTGTGAAAACGGGTTTAGGGTTTAGGATTAGGATTCAGAATTTGCAACTTAGGGTTTAGGGTTCAGGGTTCAGGATTTAGGGTCTAGGGGTGAATGGGTGGCAAGAGGTGTGTTCCACTTGCTAAGCCCGTTTTTACATGATCTGAAAGGGAACACGCAGGCTGCGGCAATTCTGGGCAAGACGCCGCAAGCCTACAGCATGACAGGAGATAGCTATACGGCTGTTAAGGCTGTTCACGGTTGCTCCCAGTTCGTGGTACGTTGAGTGCTAAGAAAGCAGCCATGGCAGGTCCAGTCCAGCTGAGTATCGGTGTGTTACAGCGTTGTCCAACCCTGTTTTTGTTGTAGTACATGCTTGCAGCCCTTCTGCCGCAGATGTTGCTTGAAACCATTTGGAACCGGAAGCATCGTGGTTCACACCACCTGTAATGCACAGTACACGCCCCGTTCAGGGGCCGAAGAAGCCCGGAATTTGACTTTTGTAGGTCGCCAGCTAAATGGCTCGAAGCACCACCAAGTTGCTGCAGTATCTTCTTGCGCAGACGAAGCCGCCGTCTGCCCTGAAGTCTGCATGCCGAGTGCCAGAGCGTCTACTTGGAGGTTCATGGCTAGCCATAAGTGGGGTTATAAGTAGGGTAACTACAATCATAACCCAAATTAGGGGACTTATACTCCCACTTATAACTAACTACCCATGAACCTCCAAGTACCAGGTGATGGTAGCTTCTCTTTCCTGGCCCGAAACCTGAGCGACTGCCTCGGAGTTTCGAGATGCTCAGAGTTTTTAAACGGATTCTGCGGGAGTTGGGCGGAAGGGCTGTCCTTGCAGGTTCCTTTAGGAGGTCTTAGGACCCTCTTACAGGAATCTTCCGAGCACCTAAAGTATTAGGACCGGAATGTTCCCTTGAGAATTCGTTTAGACGCGAGGTATCCCGCTTCTTCCATTCCAGGCTTCAGGGTTTACTGGAAGGACCTTCGGACGCAATGACAAGTTATAAGTCAGGTATGAGCATCGTTAGTCGGGTCGTCCTCCTGATAGTGCCACTTTCTAAGCCACTTATGAGTCCCTCACCTTTAAAAGGGGGTTTTCCAGGCAGGAGTGCGAACCAGTCAGGGCAACAAAGCCTACAACTGGACTTCCCAATGAAGAGGGGTTGAGAACAGTGGACCTGCAATATGAGATTGCTCCCTGGGTTCCGGTGTTGGGTTGAGGTCTGGGATTTGGTTTGCGAAATTTGCGGCCTTGTTTGCTTGCAGCACCCGTGTAGCAATCCGAATCAGTGGAGTTTGCTTGCGGAATCTGAGGCGATGTGAATCCTGTCCATGTCATTGCCAACGTTGAGGCTGGCTTACATTCACTGGCTTTTTGAAGGAAACTTCGAGAACA